GTAGTAGTAGTAGTAGTAGTAGTAGTAGTAGTAGTAGTAGTAGAGTAGTAGTAGTAGTAGTAGTAGTAGTAGTAGTAGTAGTGGTAGTAGTAGTAGTAGTAGTAGTAGTAGTAGTAGTAGTGGTAGTAGTAGAGTAGCAGTAGCAGTGGCAGTGGCAGTGGCAGCGGCAGTAGCAGTAGTAGTAGTAGTAGTAGTAGTAGCAGCAGCAGCAGCAGCTTGAGTAGTAGTAGTGGTCGTCGTGGTGGTGGTGGCGGTAGCAGCAGTAGCAGTAGTGGCAATAACAGCAGTAGCAGCAGCAGTAGTGTAGGAGAATGAGCTTCTGGTGAGAGTTGGGGTAGTAAGGGTAGTAGCAGTGGAAGTGGTGGTGGAGGTGGTGGTGGTGGTGGTGGGGGTGGCGGCGACGGTGGCGGTGGCGGTACTGGTGAGGGTAGCGATAGTGGTAGCAACAATCTGGCCTGAGTCTGTGATGGAGCCGTCGTAGCATTGCTTTGCTAGGTCCGAGTCTTTGTATTTCCAATATTACTCGCACGGCCAGCATGTTCGCTGTGGCAATGTTCATGGAAGTTCAGAGCATCTTCAGCGCACGAACGAAGAATCGACTAAGTCATGAGAAGTGAATTCCACGCTGTATCGTAAACTCCAAAACCCGAAAGTCCTGAGCGCATTCCGAGGCAACTGTTGCCACCTTCCAGCTGGTTTTACTATGGCATTGAACCCCACTCCGAATGTCATACTGCTATTTCACCCATGAAGCTAGTAGAAACTGCCGCGATCATTATCAACAACAGCAACAACAACTCTAGGAGCAGCAACACTCACTTTGCGGACCCGTGAAGGAGCCCGACCTTCGCATCACAGGGAAGCACTGCATGGAAGTCAGGAAGGAAGCGGTAACATCGCATTGGACGTGGGGTGTTAAAGTTCCATTACAACTTGCAACATCCACGGCTCTGAGTTTTGCTATCTCAACACTCTCTGCCTTCGGAGGTCTCTCCAGTACATTTCTGTCCAAGTTGCTATCGCTCGGGCTGCCTCATCTGCAAATGGGGAGGCCTGCGCAACCCGAAGTTGGAAAATGCGGTGCGTCGTGTCGACCATGTCATGCACTTGCTTCTCTACATGCCTGCTGAGGGTTGCTTTCGATTGGAGGGAGTTTTTTGCGTGAAGAATAGCAACAGAAATCTCGTTGTGAAAGTTGAACCACGGTACGGAACAAGCATACACGTGGCTTGGTTGGGTTATGCCTCTCTTTCAGTGGAGACGGCTTGACGCACCGCTGTGCTCAGAATCAACCCTTTCTGAGTTTGGACTCGCCTCATAGTTTGGATGCTTGAGGAGAAGCAGACAAAGCTCACGCAGAACTCGTGCACGACAGAGAGCAGAAATATCGGTGCTAAGGCACACATCAAGCTTAATTCGACGCTCCATTGCTCCTGCTTGCTCATCGAATCCGAAGGTCTCTGACCTTGGACACAGAGACCCACAACCGCTGATGGATACTTCACACGGAGTGAACTTGTCTCTCACAGCGATCACAGAGGAATAAGCAAAAACGTGTCAATGAAGTCTCAGATTCCAGCTTCTAACCTCTGACGGCTGAGACCTCACTGCTTCAGGAAATGGCTCGGAAAAGTAACACGACCCATCATAATGCTGTAAACGTACAATCATAACTCATACCCATAGCACCCATGACTATGAAAATTAGTCGGCAAATAATCAACATCGGACATCTCAGCTCGGAGCTCGGAGGCTGACCGGATGAAGCTTCGACCCTGGGGCACGTTGCAACATGGGCGGCAATGCTGAAAGAGGAAGCCATAGAACGTGATTTCGTGACCTAGAGGCAGTTCGTGGAACAGTTGGTACTACTATAGCAGTTGTAGTAGTCGTCGTCGTTGCGCAGTAGCAGTGGCAGTGTCAGTGGCAGCAGTGGCAGTAGCAGCAGCAGCAGCAGTTG